AATAAATTGATACAAAAATTCATTCATTCTATCTCTTTACACAATATTATTACTCCGTAAAAGCCGTATGTCTATGGTATCGTATTTTCTTAATGGCAATAATCAATTCATTAAATTCAATTTACGAATTTGGCTTATACATACATCCGGTCAGAGCAAAAATTGATTACTTGGATTAAGCACTCGACTGTAAATTGATCATCTTGTCAGTTCACGTATTCAGTTGCCTGCCTATAATTAGTAACGCCACTTTAAGGCTAAAACTTTCCCTATAATTTCTTTTAATTTATGTCATATTCCTGGTCAATCCTTTAAAGCAAAGTGAAAAAAAGCGAAATAATTCGTTTTACAGCTAAATGTGTGAAACGAATACAAACTACACCGATTTGAAGATACTACTTTTTTTGGTGCCTTCGTAACAGCATGCAACGGAAGTTGTAAATGGCAATTATTACCGGAAATGCAACGTCAACAGTAATTGAAAAATACTCGCGCATCTACTTTTACTTCTATCCTTTTTTATTCAAGGCAATTTTGTAGATCCATTCGATTCCAAGTATTCGTTATTAGTTACCCAAATATCCCTTTTATCTCTATCTAAGCGTCTATTTTTTTATAATTAATGTATTTTTTTTTAAAAGCTAATCTATTGATGATAAAAATGACGTTAAATAAATAAGTGAAATATTTTTATCAAAAATGGTTTTCTTACCGAAAGGATTCCAGGGCATTCGTTAAATGGAGGAGCTCCTTGCGTTGAAAACCAAATTAAGTAGAATAAAAATAATCCTATGTACAGGGGATAGTATAAACTAAGAAGGCACAGCACGATAAACTTAATGTATGTTACACCTGAAAAGAAAAATAATTATTAATAACTTTACAAACTATAAATGTAAAACTTTCAAAGTGATAACTGGTACATGGTACATAGAGACAAGAAATAAGTTTACGAATTTATAATTTCATTAAATTCTTGTAATTTTTAATTATATCTACACATAGATCATACATTTGTAGATCCAATGCAATTTATTCAGATAATATTAAATGTTAACAGAATTCTTTTTATTTCAAACTGTTCCATGAGTCACATAAAAAGGAAAAAAGATAATAAGCACCATTTTGTTCAAAACAAAATCGCTCAAAAGGAATAAACAAATAATAGTGACGTAATTGTAGCCTTTTTGTAAAGATCTGTGCTAAATTGACGCATGTCTATAGCTCCAACACAAAAACAAATAAAATAATACTTTTATCATTAATTTCGTAACATTAAATTCCATTCCTTTAATTAGATGTATATGGTGCAATTTTTTTTAAGTTTTAATTTTCAAATTTTTATTAAATGGCCCTCTTAGTGTTCCACCAGCAGAAACTGTCAGCTCGTTTATGTCGAAAATAAAAATTCTAATGTATATTTTAAAAAAAAAATCAAAATTCATTAACCATTTACGGCGAAGCGTGTGAAGGGGTATGTGCCCTATATGTCTTCCTTTAGTTACGCCCATGACTATTACACGATTAAGAAAGTACTTTATCATCCCATGCTTTGCCAAAAACTTGTACTTACATTTGCTGTAGCTAAAAGTGACCAATCAACATTTGTAAGAAGTTTTTCGAGGCCAGAATATTTAAAGTCTTCGTCGACTGCTTTCACTGCTAAGGCAATAAAACAACCGATGATGATAAGAACAAGTAGAATAAGTGACGTTACGAAAGCTCTTGTTCTTCGACATAGCCTGAATAGGTAATAAAATAAATATTAAATTAAAATAAAATAGAGTTTTGTTTTAAACTTACAAAATCGATACAGCTACCCATATGGCCAACAAAAACGCTATATATATTCCGTACCACTGAGGATCTGTATAGGGAGATTCTAAAAATGTTTTTCTGCAAGAAAAATTTTTTATTGTTTGTTTTTTGTTAGCATGATGTCTAAAAATATGATTACCTAATGCAGTCTTGACCTGAAGGATATATTGTTTCGTTATTTCCCTGAAACGTAACAAATTACTAAGTAATTAAATCAATTAAGATGTTAATTGGGAAATGTTCAAAAATTAAGCTGTTAGCTCTTGGTGAACCATATTGATTAATTTAAGATGAAACTTCAGATGAGAAAAACTTATTTGTACAGTTTCTTCAATAAAACATTTGTGAACCAATCCAAGAGTTCTTTCTCATTTGAGTTTTCATATTAAATTGATTGAGAAATTTTATGGGAAGTAAATTCCTAAAATATTAAGTGTTAATTTATTTGCAGTAATTTTTGTACTTTTTCAAAATTTTGGGTGTTTAAGATTAGAGAAAAAAAAAAGGTAAACTGTAGGTACCTGGTGTCTTATATTTTAGACCTACATAAATTAATTTGCTAATTTAATTAAATTTTATTGAAAAGAGGGGACCAACGATTGTGGAGGATTAAAGATTACCATAATATGATACAATGGCAGCTATTTCAAGTATTGTACAGAGGATTATAATGTTTCCTATAA